ACCACCAGTGTTAATATTAATTCAAACACAACAAATTAATTCAATCATATCAACAAGAACATAATCTAAGGCCAATCGTTCCATTTACAATCAGAGAGTTTAGCCTGATCTGCTGATCTCCCATTGGCTATGGTAGCTAATATAATGGATATGTTCTTGACTGTCTGTACAATGTGGAATTGGATGATGGGGCACAATTTTCACACTGCTACATGAAAACAGGTCATATCCCTCAGGTCAGACAGCATTGGACAGCCCTCTTTATCTGGGGACCTAACAAAGGGAATGTGATCCAAGAAATGGTGTCATTGCGAATAATTGCAGGAGACAAAGAAGAGTTAACCAGCAGCCCCCACCATACCCAGTAGAGAGAAATCCTGTGGCCCATTCTCTCCACATACAAACATATAACTGACGGGACAGGTTACTTTAGTTCAGAATTTGTCGATAAATTTGTTTTGGATCATCATTACATTAATCTGGATAATCCATATGGGCAGGGTCATCAAGTAATTACAGCCTTGATAGCCATACATGGCATAACCCAAGAGCACTCAGGTGTCAGGAAAAGCAAATTAATTGGTATGACCCTGACTAAAACAAGATCACATCTATCTGTGCATTTGTACATGGGCAGGGGGCTTCACATTTAGGAGTTTTCTTTGAAAACATTAGACACAGTAGAGTCACTCAGGGCCAGCCAAACACTGATGAGTTTTCCTTATCCCACAATACATAGACCTACTCGGCAGTTGGTCAAGTTGTCAGTCAGAGATGCTTCTTGTCTCAATGAACCATGTGATTATTTTGCCAGGTTGTGGAGCTAGTATTTGGAGACAAAGAGAGGGTTCATTATTTCCCTCTCCCAGCACCTCCAACGTTTAAGGAGTTCCTTCCCCAACTCAAGTAGGTAATGGTACCAAGGAGGCATGCAGAGGCTTTCCCCATGGAGGCTGCCTCCTCCTATGGAGCTTTAAAGGGCCCCAGGGCTGGGATGTTGGAACAACCTCCAGGGTTATGGGCTGCTTAGGCCCTCAGTCAAATTTGTCAGATTTTCTGACTAACTTTCAGACTCAACAAATACATACATTGATAAGGTACATATTATCTCCAATGCCTGAATGGTGCAACTGTGAGACTGCCTTCCTGAAAGCAGAGATCCATAGTTCTCTTCTCTTTACTGTCTTCACAATCCGCTTCTGAGTTGTAGTCCACATTGCTCCCAAAATTTGATTTGGATGGTTGGTCCCTATATCTTATCAGAATGTTAATTCTGATTAACAAGCTGTTAACAAGCTTTCCTGGGCCTTCATATGAGTTAGCATCTGCTAACTTTATTAGGGCTTATCAAGATAATATCATCAATGTGGTAGGACCATGTCACCAACAAAAAGAGAGGGTTTGTTCTGTGTGTCAACCTACCTATTGGTGGCAAATCGCAGGAAGGTTCAAGTATTACTACTGCAGCCCAGTATGTTCTGGGGGCTCAGCCAGGTGAGGGATTTGGGTCTTCCAGGGGCTAAAGCATTTGAGAAAAGGACATGACCAAAGTTCAGGATAGCATAGCAGGTGCCACTATGGGCAATTGCTTCAGTCATAGTCACAATGGCTGGAGTAGCCAGGATGTAGGAGCACCAGCTGAATTCAGTTGGCAATTATCCTGCATAAGCCTCCAGATCGCCTTAGCTTTTTTCACCAGGGACACAGAACTATTATATTAAGATACAGTGTTTTTCATAAGCAGTATTACATTTAAACTGTGATTTCCTCGCCTTCTCCTGGAATTCTAAATTGGGTCTTTTCTAGACCATGGAAGGGAAACTGAAGTGGAGGTGTGATCTGTTGTGCATGCATCTCCCTCATCACCCACCCACAAGAGGCTCTTCCATATCAGGAACATCTCCCTTGGAGAACAACCCTACACCTAACAAGCATGTAAATTATCAATGCCAATTATACATTCAGTCTTGGGAGCAACAAAAATGGTGCATGACAAGGATCCAAACAGTCACTTTTTTTCTCATTTTATTCTGTTTCAAATCTGGCTAATTGAATGTGTAGTCCCCACCTCTCAAGAGAACCTAGCATGTTAGTCTTTCAGGCACAGATATTATACACACACACACACACACACACACACATACACACATATATATACACACATACATACATATATATCTCTTTATATTCATTTTATATTCATTTATATATGTGTGTGTGTGTGTGTATTCACCCCCCCCTTACCTTTCTCCCCTACCCCATTCTGACATTCTAAGGGTATGAGATCTCTGATCCCTGCTGTAAATGAAAATACCTTACTTCATCCATTATTTTTAAAGGTTTTCAAAGTATAATACAGAAATGGGGGTCAGACAATAGGGGTTCCAAAGGAGATATTTTCCCTAAGATAGCCACATGGCTTCCTAGCTCCCCATTAAAGGGAGATTAGTCTTCACAAAAGAATCTGGTTCTATGGAGGCGCACAGAGTTTTATTTGTAATGAACTACTAACTGCCCCATTGGGGCCTGTCGTAGCCTTATATGTGGACTGCATTTTTTTGGTGATTATCCCATCTGCCTCTACTTTGCGATCCTGCAGGTTAAGAGGCATATTGCATTTCCTTATAATTTGGAGGACATTGGATGGTCCCATCTTGGCCTTTGTCTTAAATTGCAGAGAATGCCTGGTTTAGAGAGTTCTATCTTTATCATGGGTGTCTAATGGCCCTTAGCAAGCACAGCTTCTAACACAAGGTCTCCCACCAAAAAAAGTAGTAGAATGCTACCACCTTGTAGGAAAGGGGATAATCTTAAAAGTGAACCAGACATTCTCTGGATGTGGGATCATAATCAAACTGTCTTTCTGTTCAGGGTAGAACAAGTCTAGAGCAGCCTCAGCCTTTGAGTAGCTTTCTCCACAGGGTTTCATGGGATTTTATTGGCCTCAAGAAAGTCTCCTTATTCATTAAGACTATAACCTCCCTAACTCCTTCATCAGTCACATGTCTAATTGTTCCTCGACCTATTGATCAAAGCACTCCTAGATATCTCTATTTTCCCTCTCACTATGGATCTATGTCTTAGTATTCATTATAGAGGCATTTGCCCTCTAGTTGTTTCTAGTCTTGACTTAAAACTGGTGAAGTTGTGCTTTCTTTCCTTGTGGGGCTCAGAAAGTTCTCTTAGCCTCCGTGTCCATAGAAGAGCAAGCAACAACCATGGCACCATTTGGGCAATTAGTTAGACTTTATCCCTCATCACTCAGCCCCCATCTATTGACTTGTGTCGTGTTCGTCAATAGCGAGGACAGGAGTGGATGACTCTTTCTGTAGCACATTTGCCAGAACATTTCCTACCACATCCCAAGGTCTTAAGGACTTTCTTCATATTTCCAAACCCAGTCCATGAGCCCTCGCCTTTTATCTTCCAAAAAGTCATTGTCTATCTTGACATCCCGCTCATAGTGCCAGTTTGGGAAGAACCTCTTAGAAGATGGCTATAAGTAACCAGATTCCAAAGGAGTAAACCAAGCAAGCAAGCAAGCAGGTTGTTTTGCTACAACTATTTAGGGGCCAAATGTAGACCAAAGTCAATAGTTTAGTACTTATAGCACAACAGCAGCAGAAACTTTAGCATAGCAGTGACTCTTCTGTCCCCAAATCCCACTGGGCAGTGTGATGGGACCTGATGGTGGCTGCACACACAATGGGTTGTGTCACAGTTAAGGAACCCAGAGCTAAAGTCCCAGCCCTTTTGAGGGCAAGTAATAAACAAACCTCCCTAGGAACAGGCACTTCACACAGTGATCAATGCTGTGGTCACCCAGGCCTACCTAATTGCTTATGTGACCACCTGCAGAAACTATTCCAGGCCAGAGGAGGGTTAAGCCTTGCAGTTTGGCACAGTCAGCAAGGATGTTCAGGAAAACCAGGGTTCCCGGTAGACTGCCTCTCCAAATGACGATTCTGATCTTTCTATTCTTCATTCTTAGGAAATATATATTGAAATCTGTAGTGACAAAAAGTCAACTGAGTATCAAATAGTTCAGAGAGATAGTGTGTGTGCATGTGTGTGTGTGTGTGTGTGTGTGTAGAAGAAGAGCAAAAAAAAAAAAAACAGAAAGCAAATGATTAAACAAATGGGATAAAATGTTAATAGCAGGTGAGTCTGGATAAAATGTACACAAATGTTCTTTATGCTATTCTCATTCTTGCACTTTTCCTGAAGTGTGAAATTTACTAGAATAAAGTTAAAGGAAAAGCCCTCCCTTTATACTGACTCTATAAAGACCTCCTTTCCTTCTCACCAAAGAATATATTATCAATGACAGCAGAGATTACTTGTTAATTACAAAATGTATTTCTTTGCCACAATTTTCTTCCCATATTTGAAAATACCAAAACACATTTTTATGTGTGTGAACAAATGTCATGTTATTGCTCAATGTATATGCCAGCTTTACAGTGGAAGTGGGGGTGGCAAAAGTCCCTGAACTTCAAATTGGTTGCTTCAGAAAAAAAAAAAAAAATCCATTAATTTTGAGAACTGAATGAAAAATAAAAATGTCTTCATCTAGAAATGAAGAATATGAAAGGTATTGCAAAAAGAGACACTGCTATTCTTTTGAAATTTTTGTCAAGTCATGAATAATTTGAGGATAAAGAAGGAGAAAGAGAGTCAAGAACAGAGAGAGATAAGGGATTTGGATTCAAAATGTATTTTTTCAAGGAAGCCAATATCTATAATATCTCTTTGATTACTAGTGTATAATTCTTATTCATTAGTGTGTACAAATGCGATAGCATACTCATAATGATCCAAGAGATTATTCATAATAACCCAAGAGATCAATTAATGTCTTGACATTTAATAAAAGCTCTGAAGGTTACAAGTGAAAGTATACTGAGGGCCCTCAGGACAATTCTGACCCACCGAAGATGCCTGATAAATGTGCACTGCAACCCAATTTGAAATGCTATCTTTGCTCTTTCCTCTTTCAGCTAGAAAATCTGGAAGCAGAAACTGCTCCATTGCCCTAGGTGGGTCTCATGCCATTCAGACCCTCACTGAGCTTAGAAGCCACCATCTATGTGGAAGCAGGTCACTGCAAGAACCTGTGGAAGACTCTAGTTTCCTAGGAAAGTGCCTGCTCCTGAGTCATCAAAACTCGATCTTCTGCGCACTCCACTCTACACATGTGAAGGACATCTCAACTAAGTCAGTTGCTGGGAAGGAAGGACCACACCACACTAAATAAAAAGTCCAGCTTGTGTACATAATCACTAAGAAGATGTCCAATGGGACCAAAACGCACCATGGTATGTGAATTGAGGTCATCATAGAAGATGGCCCTTTTGTGTGTAATATTTTGTTTTCAAGCAAATATTTATGACCTCATCAAGCAAAAACCATCAGTTGTTAAATTTAGCATGGTAACATGTAAAGTAAGTCCACCTCTGATCAAAGGAACTTGTGTGGAAAGCTCAAGACTTTATCTAGTCTTCTGTAAGGAATACTTTCTTCTATCTTTTACCTTTAATATTAACCTTAATATTGGCTAAGACATCATTTCCACCTTTGTTTCTTTGTTTTGTATTCTTCTAAAGAATAATGTCTCCTACCTAGCTCCATAATTTTGAGGAAGTAATTAGCATGAAATGTAATCTGAAACACAACAGTGTGTCAGCTGCAGAAAGGTTGACTCTTGTGCATTGCAGGTACTTCCCAAGAGTCCATGGGAGATTGTCCATTTTTAGGCTTTCAGTTGTTTGCTCCGTAATTTTAACTGTGAGGATCCCATCTTTTATCTAAGTATTCATAAAAGGTAATTGTGGATCAGTGAACTCATCACTTCACCTGGGGAGGAAGTCAAGCTTTAAAATGTACTTATTCTTCATTTCTCAGTAGTTTCTCCATACTGCATGTTCCTTTTGTAAATTATCTTATCTTTTTTTTTAATTCTGTGATAAAATGATAGTCTAAGCCTTTTTAAAAATTTGTATCCAATAAACTTAATCTCAAAACAGGAAGACGCAAGTGATCATAGATAAAAATGGTTAATCTTCTTTTCAATCCTATGGAGTTACTTGGACCTGAAATATTAACAGTGACCCAAGAATATTTTCCTGAAGATTGTGTTTATATAATGTCATCACCAATATGTTGGTCTTTTTGATCTTTGCTAAATGTCAAGATTTCCTTTGTAAAATGTCAGTCTTCTAAGTAATTTCTGTAAGACAATTCTCCTCTTTGACTGGTTTTCTTTCATATAAAATACAGTAGAGATTTGGCAATCACCCATTTTTATTTGATCTATATAGACAGTCAAGTCAGATGGCCTATGCAAAAAAGAGCCCTCCACTTTGAACTTTTGTCTGGGTTGATTAAATGAGTCATGTACATTGTAGTTATCTATGAAGATATAGTACACGACAGGGTGCCAATTTCCTTTATAAAAAAGTATTTCTATGTCTATAAGCTGCCAGTAGACTCAATATTAAAAGTTATATCTGTTCCTCAATATAATAAGACACAAATATGTACTGGACATCCAGATCAAATATCCAAGACACCCTGGACCAGAATAACTAAATTTACTGTCTCAGATTTAGCTAGCTGTCATTATGTGGACCCAACACATGTATCCATTGGATGAGAAGAAAAAGAAAAAAAAAAGATAATATTTTATCTTGAATCTTGAATATTGAAGTCTTACATTTGCCTCTAATAATCTCTATTTCTCAAATATTATGTCCCAGAAATGATATGTATTATTTTTATTTTTTTCTGATCAAAGTAATTTAAACCAGAGCCTTAAAAAGTTTTGGATTGTTAAATAAATGCATTTGTGTATAAATACATATATGCATATAGACAATTAGAGCTTCCACAAGTAAAAGGATAATTCAAATGAAACACAATGAAGGAGAATGAAATATCTGTATGTAAGTCACTGGGGAGGAAAATTCTTCCCTTTAATGGGTTGTAATATCAGTTCTCTCGAGAGATGACGTAGTACTGCTTTCTACTCATAAGGATGTTTTTCAACAATCATTTCTGCCTAATGACCAGCTCTTAGTTAAAACATTCTGAAGTAAATAATAAATATGCTTTTCAATGTTTTTCATTCAAAACGATTGTCACAAAATTTACTAGAACTGCCTTGATATTCCATGGCAAATGGGGAAGTGTCAGCCCTGATTCAGTTGGTTGAGCTAAAGTTCCTTATGAAATCTGCATATAAAGAAAATGTAATGTTCTGCTTTGTTCTTCCTTCTCATTTCACCTTCCCGTCCTTACAGATAGGATTTCTTCTGGTTTGGCCTTCTTCCAGTGAAGCAGACTATTGATGTAAACTAAGGGTAAGGCATAGTAGCCTTAACTTCTCAGCTTCTCTGTGAACCACACATGCCCCTACTATAGCTGTGCATTTACAGCCACAAATACAATCCTTTTCATAGAAATATCCACGAATAGGAAATGGGTGTCTTCAGGAATCCTTGCTGCCATTACAAAAGCACCGAGATTTTTGCCTACATTTTCAACATATTTCTTTTCTCTGAGCCATATTCCTTCAATGAGGGGAGGGATGGGAACAAACACCAACCTTCATCAGTGCCTTGGTCTAACCACTGTACTTTCCCTGGTAGAAGATGCTTCAGGATCATAGTGCCAGAATACAGCCTTCAGATTATATTTAAGACCACTGCCATTAGGACATTAGAGCCTAAAATGACAAGCCAGTTAAAGGGTCTAGCTTTGTGGCATTTAGCCAGGAGGCAGTTGAATTTAATTAATAATAATTTCAACCCAGTCATTGTTCACCACTGAGATCAAACTAAAACCACAAGGAGGTATGTACATTGCTAGCTGTTCAAAAGTAAGCAAAACCAAATGGCAAAAGCTTAGTGCGCCATGGTGTGTGGCAAATATTCAAGCTCTTGTCATGTAATGTCTTGGCATTTTTTAAAGGAGTCAGCACATAAGTCAAGTTCAGTTTGATTTACCTAATATTATTGTGTCCTAGACACTTGAGTTACAAATGTAAAGACCATTGACACTGAGGTTTTAGGATTATATACAGTGGATTGAGGGTGGACTGAAAGTGCATCCTGTAACAAGGTACTTTTGAAGTAACATCGAATAGCGGCGTATACATTTTAAGGGCATTTTAAAGGCTCAGAAAAAATTAAAATTGAATGTATCAACCTTTGAAATATATCAGTCTTGACTCAAATATATGAAAAGATGATTCTAGACCCTTGGCACATATTCAGAGGGAGATCAATTTTTCTGGGGCTTTCCCCATCATATACATTTTCAACTCACTTTGCATTTCCTATAACCTTGTATGAAGTGAGAATTTTAAAATCTGCACTTGAAATTGCACCTAAACTTTACAATGTTACAGAGGAAATTGGGGTAATTACTTCTTCCTCTGCTCTTTGAAAGGGGTTCAGGTTTGCATTTCAAAGCCAACCCACCTGGAAAGGAGTGCTTAGGGTTCTAATGTCCCCATACCCCTGACTCCTCCCTGAAAAAATAGCCCTGTGATTTCATGTGGTACAAGGAGTAAGCTCCTTCCTTCTCTCCCAACTTCCAGAAACTTAGTTAAATCTCTGATCCAGTCACATCCAAAAGAGTGCCCTGTCTGCTTAAAGACAAAATAAAACTCTATGACAATAGATTAAGATGTTTCTAGACTGTACTACAACATCTGAAACAATGCAAAAGTTGTTATTTATTTGGAAAAAAATGATTTAAGAATTGAGTGGAACCATAAGGGACAAGGACAGAAGAAGAGAGTTTACTCATTTTTATCATTCTACCATCAGAATTATCTGGCATCATACTTTACTACCACTCAGAGGAGCTGGTTGGCATCACTACCTTTTATACAAAGAGATTGTTTCTAAAAGGTGTGCATTATGTAGAGCAGGTAGGGATCTATTTAGGTTGCAACAGTTCTTTAGACTATATTAGACAAGAAACAGGACCTACAGAAACCACACTTGAATGCAAACAAGTCTTATAGCTTTGTGTTTTAGTGAAACCTCTATATACTTGTAGAAAGAGCATAAACAATCCTATGTAGTATAAAAATTGTCTGAAATTAATCATAACAGGCCCAAAGCTTTCAATGCAAGCATAAATATGCTTTGATTTTTCAGATGATGTATCCTCGGTTTTGAATTTGAAAGAATGGTAATATTAAATATACATCATGAGGGGAGATACAGTTTTTGTAGGAACTGAATTTGCCTCTATACATCTCAATAATTGCAAACCTCAATGATTTGTTGTCATTCAGAGCTATCTCATGAGTCAAACATAGTTTGCTTCCCCCCCTACAACTATGTCCATGAAATCTAAACCAGGGCAACTGAAAAAAAAAAAAAAAAAGTTTATTACTTGTGTTCCAGCTAATAGTGTCACATTGTTAGCAAGTTTGCATTGCCTATACAGAATAGATGTATATTTGTCTTATAGTTTCAGAAAAAGAACACAGAGTTCTTTTTGAAGACAGCAGGGAAATTTATCTTATTATCGTCATGTGCTCTGTAATAGGCATGTTTTGCAACAACAACAACAAAAATCCTCCAGGAAAAGATGCACTTTAACATTACCTACAACTTCCTTCTTCTTACTTTGCTACTTGATTTTTTAAAGAACCTAAATCTTGAGAACAGGCTATCATATTTACCTCCAATTCTCTTAAAATAAATTTCTGTTGTTTTCCTTCCAAAACATAAATGTCTTATTCAATTAGCATTACCCACTAAAGCTAGAAAGTTTTTAATGAATACACAGGGTTACAAAATGCCAAATGGAAATGAAAAAATAAGTGATACAGACAGAGAGAGGAAGATATGAGAAGAGAAAGGGAGGGAATAGATGGGACACTATGTTTTTGAGAGTCTGGGTAAAACTGAACACAGTCACATACACTGAACAGCATGAGTGAGCTTCGTTAATGTAAGCACAGTAAAACTGTTTTAATTAATGATTCCCAGAGAAAAGGGAGAGGAAATCACATTGGCGTGACCTGATGATCGATTTTACCATCCATAGTGGAGGCCAAAGCAGATGAGTCACTGAGAAAAATATAATTATTTTTCCCCATTTTGTCGAGGGAAACAATGTCCCAACACTACGATATTTGCA